GTCTTGCAAAGATGTTTCAGGAGTTAATGCTTTATGTTTGCCACTTCGCTGACTATGTCGGGGATCGAGCTACCCGGTCAGCTCGCGAGGGTCCACGGGCAACGCCCCTTGGCGGGTCTAGGGCAGCCCCCAGGCGAGGTCGAAAGGAAGCGCCCCCGAAGCCAAAAGCAAAATTGCAATCGAAGTTGTTTGGTCGCTCGAATGAAGGAATGTGCGCTCGAGCAAAGAATCCTTGGTTTCAAAAGTTTTCACTGACTGTAAAAATACTGAGAAGTTGCATTTCTAGCTCGAGCGAGACTTTGGTGGCCCCCCAGGCGAGGTCGAAAGGAAGCGCCCCCGAAGCCAAAAGCAAAATTGCAATCGAAGTTGTTTGGTCGCTCGAGTGAAGGAATGTGCGCTCGAGCAAAGAATCCTTGGTTTCAGAAGTTTTCACTAACTGTAAAAATACTGAGAAGTTGCATTTCTAGCTCGAGCGAGACTTTGGTGGCTCAAGCGAAGACACTTGAAAAACACGCGTTTTAGTCTCCTCATTCGAGCGAGAATTCCTTCGCTCGAGCGAGCATCGTGGCCCTATTTTCTATAAATATGTGTTTTAGTCCGTTTTTAGGGTTACGACTTCCAGATCTTCTTCTTGGATATTAGGGTTTATATCTGGAGCTTCTTTGCTAGGTTCTTTGATGTTTGTTTGAGTTTCACTCATGGTTTGGAAAATATACATCAAAGGATTATTTGTTTTGTTCAATACAAAAGAGAGTGTTGTTCTTCGGTAGATTCCGTGGAATTCGAGCCTGAAGCTTTGTTGGATTCCGGAGTGGCTCATCGTCGTGATTTGACATCGGCGTTGTGGATTCAACGTTGGGCAAGACAATTCTGAGGTGAAGAGGGGGCTAGAAGAGGCACATAGGGGTCGGTTCGATTTGGGCGTGTATTCGCTAGATAATTAAGAGTACACTTGTGTAATTCTTTTATGTCTTCTTAATAGATTGTTTTGTGACTTTTGCTCGTGGTTTTTTATCACAATTGAAGGCGCTCCAATTGTGGTTTTTTCACGTAAAATCGTTGTGTCGATTTGTCTTGATTGTTTGATTGTGATTGTTATTTACTGCTTAAAATTGATACATAATCACAAATCAATATCTAGGGAATTTCTAGATTTTTCAATAACCTTAATAATTTGTAACTAAAACTCTTTTTTTTTTTTCTTGGTGCATCCATTCTTAACATAATTATAATAATTTGTATTAATATTACAAAAACTCATAACTATTCTACAAAATAAAGTATATAAGTAAAAATAAAAATAAAAAGTTTGAGAGGGCTAAATGCAATTAAGCAACACTTACATCATATAATCACACACATATCCTAGCAAAATAGCAGGGCCAAGACCCCTCCTAACCCCTCCTTCCCTCCGCCCCTAATAATAGATACATAATTACGACAGCGTAATGTATTCTTTTACTTATTAATTAACATGTGGTAGAAGTAGTATTCTATAAGTCACTTTGTATTTGACCCGAGATGTTGAGTGTTCGATCACATCAAATTTTAATCTTATTTTTTTATCACATATTAATTAATAAGTTGATCTGAGAAGCCGGCAATGTTGAATTTGTTTTACATCTAACCTATCCAAAAAAATAAGTCAACTATCCATATAAATCGGCCACCATCTTAGCCAAATAGTCGTTAAAAGATAAACTATCAATAAATTCTAATAGTTAAATTTTATTATCAGTAAAGCCTTGTTTGGGAATATCACTTTTTAGCTTAAAAGTCAAAAAGTCATTAAAAAAAAACCAAAAAACCAACAAATTATATATATAAAAAAAATCAAAGATTCTTTTTTCTCTTTACTCTTCGTACATCTTTTCGTAAAAAATTAAGAAGTCATCTCAAACATACTAATTTTTTATCTCATATTTTAGCCAAAAAATCAAAAAATTACTAAAATAGTCTATTTCCAAACGAGACTTAAGTCCAATTGAAAGTAGTCCTCCTAAAATCGTCACCAAAAATAATTTTTTGTTACAATTTTTTATATATGTTGCTAAAAACTGACAATTAGTTCGTAATGAATTTTCTAAATTATAACTAAAAGTTAAATTAGTGACTTTTTTGTGATTTTTTTTAAACTATCGCTAAAACTTATAATTAGTAACGTTTTTTTGTGAAAAAATTTCAATTAGATGTTGAAAATTATGGTACACACTCTTAAAAACTATGATACACACTCTTAAAAATGTGTACCGTATGTTCTTTCAAAACTATACTACAATGATTGGTAACAAAATCACAGTAGTTAATAACTTTTTTCACCATAACAATACGTAATATTTTAATATTCATAACATAATCATAATAGTTCATTATACAACTGTTAGGTTTTTATTCTTAGCAATCCCGTTTGACAAAACTCCTTTCAGTTGTACTTTTATTCGCACTTTTATTTTAGTGAGGCTACGAGTTTTTAGATGCGAATCCAACTCGAATTGTGTCTTGCAGAAATGTTTTAGGAGTTAATGCTTTCATGTTTGCCACTTCCCTGACTATGTCGGGGATCGAGCTGCCCGGTCAGCTCGCGAGGGTCCAAGGGCAGCGCCCCTTGGCGGGTCTGGGGCAGTCCCCAGGCGAGGTCGAAGGGAAGCGCCCCCAAAGCCAGAAGCAAAATTGCAATCGAAGTTGTTTGGTCACTCGAGTGAAGAAGTGTGCGCTCGAGCAAAGAATCCTCGGTTTCAGAAGTTTTCACTGACTGTAAAAACACTGAGAACTTGCATTTCTAGCTCGAACGAGACTTTGGTGGCTCGAGCGAAGACACTTGAAAACACGCGTTTTAGTCTCCTCATTTGAGCGAGAATTCCTTCGCTCGAGCAAGCATCACGGCCCTATTTTCTATAAATACGTGTTTTAGTCCGTTTTTAAGGTTACGACTTCCAAATCTTCTTCTTGGATATTAGGGTTTATATCTGGAGTTTCTTTGCTAGTTTCTTTCATGTTTGTTTGAGTTTCACTCATGGTTTGGAAAATATACATTAAAGGATTGTTTGTTTTGTTCAATACAAAATAGAGTGTTGTTCTTCGGTGGATTCCGTGGAATTCGGGCCTGAAGCTTTGTTGGATTCCGGAGTGGCTCATCGTCGTGATTTGACATCGGTGTTGTGGATTCAACGTTGGGCAAGGCAATTCTGAGGTGAAGACGGGGCTGGAAGAGGCACATAGGGGTCGGTTCGATTCGGGCGTGGATTCGCTAGGTAATTGAGAGTACACTTGTGTAATTCTTTTATGTCTTCTTAATGGATTGTTTTGTGACTTTTACTCGTGATTTTTTATCATAATTGAAGGCGCTCTAATTTTGATTTTTTCACGTAAAATCGTTGTGTCGATTTGTCTTGATTGTTTGTGTAACGCCCTCAAAATAATAGCTTTAAACCCATTAAATAAGACATGCATTGATATTCAAAAGCTCCACATCCTTTCATTTAACAGAGTTTCATTACAAAAAGTATTACATGTTAACAACAAAAGCAAATGCCCTAAGGGCTTACAGCTTTCCAAGTTAACACTTGGTTACAACAAAAGAGTACTAACTCAAACACGTTAAGCCCTTGGCTTGAATTTACATGTAATACATCATTTTTTCACGTAAAATCGTTGTGTCGATTTGTCTTGATTGTTTGATTGTGATTGTTATTGTTATTTATTGCTTAAAATTAATACATAATCACAAATCAATATCTAGGGGATTTTTAAATTTTTCAATAACCTTAATAATTTGTAACTAAAATTTTTTTTTTTTGGTGCATCCATTCGTAACATAATTATAATAATTTGTATTAACATTCCAAAAACTCATAACTATTCTACAAAATAAAGTATATAAGTAAAAATAAAAATAAAAAGTTTGAGAGGGCTAAATGCAATTAAGCAACACTTACATCATATAATCACACACATATCCTAGCAAAATAGCAGGGCCAAGACCCCTCCTAACCCCTCCTTCCCTCTGCCCCTAATAATAGATACATAATTACGACAGTGTAATGTATTCTTTTACTTATTAATTAACATGGGGTAGAAGTAGTGTTCTGTAAATCACTTTGTATTTGACCCGAGATGTTGAGTGTTCGATCACATTAAATTTTAACTTTATTTTTTATCACATATTAATTAATAAGTAGATCCGAGAAACCGACAATGTTGAATTTGTTTTACATCTAGCCTATCCAAAAAAACAAGTCAACTATCCATATAAATCGGCCACCATCTTAGCCAAATAGTCGTTAAAAGATAAACTATCAATAAATTCTAATAGTTAAATTTTATTCTCAGTAAAGCCTTGTTTGGAAATATCACTTTTTAGCTTAAAAGTCAAAAAGTCATTAAAAAAAAAAAACAAGAAACCAACAAATTATATATATAAAAAAAATCAAAAATTCTTAGTTCTTTTTTCTCTTTACTCTTCGTACATCTTTTCGTAAAAAACTAAGAAACCATCTCAAACATACTAATTTTTTTATCTCATATTTTAGTCAAAAAATCAAAAAATTACTAAAATAGTCTATTTCCAAACGAGACTGAAGTCCAATTGAAAGTTAGTCCTCCTAAAATCGTCACTAAAAATAATTTTTTGTTACAATTTTTTGTGTATGTTGCTAAAAACTGACAATTAATTTGTAATGAATTTTCTAAATTATAACTAAAAGTTAAATTAGTGACTTTTTTGTGATTTTTTTTTAAACTGTCGCTAAAACTTATAATTAGTAACGTTTTTTTGTGAAAAAATTTCAATTTGATGTTGAAAATTAACAATTAGTGATATTTTTTCAAATATTTTTTAAAAAATACTTTAATTATCACAAAAACATATTAGATAATAAATACACTTATTAGAACTTATACATAAATTTCTCTTGAAAATATATGAATAGTGAATTCTAAAAATACCCCCAAACACCCCCCACAAAAATATAATACCACAGAGAACCTAGCTTTCCATGGCCGCACTACACCTGCTTGTTTTGAGGCCATCCCACGTGACCCTTTTTTCACTGCTTAAAAAAGACCCAAAAAAAAAATGTTAAGTATCACCGTCCGTCAACGAATCCTCTGCCGCGCCTCGAGCCTCCGGGGCAGCTTTCGCTCTCTCTGGTTTGAAAGCATCTTATCAATTCTGGAAGAAAAATAAAAATTTTGGCCCTAGTTTTGTATGAAACTGAATGCAGTTGAAGGAGTAATTGAATCTTCTTTGAATCCTTCTACTGCTATTTTTCTTTTCTTTATCTGCTTTGAATCTCTCACAGGTACTATTAATTTCAGTATCTCTTGAGGAATCGAATCTGGTGCACGGATTCCTTTTACGCACTGTTTTGTTGCTTATAAATTGGGGAAAACAAGAAAAGAAAAGGAAAATTTTGATATACTTGTGTGTTTTCATTTTCCTTTGCCTCATTCTTAATTAGTGACCTTACTCTCTGGATGCAATCCATATAGAATGATAGCTTTTACTTTACCTTCATGCAATAGAGAATTTATTCCTACCTAGGTGTAGTTAAACAAAAATAAAATATTAATATAAATATCACTGACAACAACAACAACAACAATAATAATAATAATAATAAAATTCTTCTTGCTTCCACAATAAATCTAGTTGCAGTGATATCTTCAAATGAAACTACAAATTTCATAAAATTTAATATACCATTTTATAGATCATTGAAGTTTTAGATTGTGAATGGTCTTTGGCTGGTTCATACAAAACTTGTGAATAGACTATATATATGTTGGCCATATATAATTCATTTGACCTTGTAAAGTGTAATAAGCGGTAATAAAGCCAAGGTAGAATCTTGAAGGTTGTTTCAATTAAATATAGAACACAATTTTTGGACTTATAAATAGGTCCTAAATTCACATTTTAGGTTGAATTTCTATTGATATTGCAACTAGGACGAGTGATGTAGAGAGAATGAAATGAAGCAATCCAAGTTCAAGAGGATTTGTGTCTTCTGTGGGACTAGCCACGGCAAGAAGAGCAGCTACCAAGCAATCCACATTTGTGTCTTCTGAAGAAGAATTATTTTTAGTGGTTTCTCTCGTCTTAATAGCTAAATTCAAATAATGGGGAAAATAAATGGTATATTGGCTTGAGGTGATGCTTATCAGTGTTGGCTTAAAATCTGTGTGAATCAAGAAACCCCTTTCTAGAATATGCAGCGCAATATGCTGTAGGAGCAGCCCTTGCGACATTGGAAAAGGATAAAAAGGATTTGTTACACAACTACTTTTACAAGGTAATGTTTGATGCTTCATCTTTCTTATTAAAATTAAGTAATTGTAAATATCTAATGTCTCAACTGGATTATTCGTGCAGGTCTTGACATTACAATTTTAGGTTGCAATGACTTCTATTCATATCGGAATCAGGTATTATACCTTTCCTATTGTACTTTTAAAATCTTTAACTTATTTGATCTTTAGTGGTGTTTATTTGCTCATATTTTTTGCCTATCATGTTTTTTCTCTTTTACTACAATTGAAACATCTACTATAATGATTATGCTTTCTGAGCTACTAGAATTAAAGTGATTTTTTGAATCATCTTATCTATATCATTAATGTATTGTTACAAATTTGCACATTATTATACTTGAGATGTTTCCATAGGCTAATGTTTAGAGCAAGCCAAAGTTTAACGGATTGAACTGTGTAAGTTTTCCATGCTTCTAGGTGGGGTTTATCATGTGAGATTGGAAAAGGGAAAGTTTTCTGCAGTTTACAGTAGTCAATGATATGTTCGCTTTTCACCATAAGTGCTTTCTTCTGCTCAGGTTTCTCTCTCTCTCTCTCTCTCCCCAAGGTTCTGTTCTTGTTGCTCACATTGCATATATATACAAATATAGATATATAATCTAAAAACCAAACATGCAAGAATCAACTGTTGTATAGAACATCTTGTCGAATCGATTCTAATAGGCTGATTTGCTATAGGATTTTTCAGCTCCAATGGGGCAGATTTTGGATAGACTACAGGCATTTGGTGAATTTGAGGTATTGGATTGTTATTGAGAAGAATTTGTTATATTCACCATTGCAAATTGAATTGGAGTGAAAACAAGTTAAAATGATAGAAAAATGCTCTGTGGAGATCGATTTAGTAACAATGCATTCGAATGACATGTTTGTTGCTCGCTATGTTGTTTATGGTGATTTGTATAATATTGTTGCAATTCAAACATTTTGGGGACAAGGTTATTGTTGAGGAACAAACAGAGAGGTACATTTTAATGCAGTTTGATGAAACATATATGTGCAATTGTACTATATAGTCTGTTTTTAGTGGTGTATAATGTTGCTTAGTTAGAGATATTGCTCTTTGATTGTTTTTGAATTGGCATTTTTCGTTTCATTTTTCTTTTGAGATTTTAGTTAATATTGTTTTGTAGGGGATATGAATGAGATATTTCGTGGAAGTTCATTTCTTGAATTAAGAAGTGCATGATTTTATCCTCTGCGGAAAATAACTCGCTTAAGGTCTTTCTCATCGGAAATAGAAATAACACGTTTTTTAATTTTTAATGCATTTTAATTTTTGACATGTGTATGTATACTCTCTCTCTCTCTCTCTCTCTCTCTCTCTCACGCACACACCCACACCCACACATATTTTTGAAGTATTATGTTGATCAATAATACAATACTTGCTTCTTGAAACTAACATTTGATGATTAAACTTTTATTTGTAAATTTTTTAGGATTGCAGAAGTCAATGTTACATGCCTTAAACGCAAGCAACAAGTATGGTAGGACAAGATTATTTGTTGTTTATCTTTGACATATTTTGTAGAACTCTGTTTGATGTTTATCAGTTTGGATTTTTATTTTTTATTTTTTAAATTTAGATGACCAACTTGGTGGTCAAATGTGTAATAGTCTGTGGAAATATAAGAGTAGTAGTAGAGAAATGACCCTTCGCCACTTATTTGGCAGGAACCATTTCTGGGGATTTTTTTCCTTATGCACCCATTGCAACACTTTTTTTTTTTTGGCTAGACAAGTTTACTAACCGAGACTTCCTATGTACAGGTATTATACTAATTATGGTCTTCTATTTAACTGTGGATACAAAAAGTTGTAGTAGCCTTAACTTGAAAAGGTTAATAGTTTAGTGTTTGCTTCATTTTACCACTTGAATTGTTTCTCTCTCTCTCTCTCTCTCCATACATGAGAATATAAAAACATCTTTATCTATCTATCTGTTTGTTCGTCTCATGAGCCTGTATTTGTTTATTTGTTTTGGATTCTGGTTGCAAGATGTGAGGATACATTCATTATTGATTTGAGGCACTATTTTCTTGGTTTATGATTTCTTTTGCTCCTCTATTTGAGGAGCAAAAGATATGACTGTAAAAGTGCTTCAAAATGTGTTCAACCTAGATTTTTTTTCCTTTTGAGTATATCGCAATTGAACTTTAATTGAACCATAATGAGCTGAGCTCAAATAGTTTGGTGTTATTATTATTATTATTATTATGCATTTAATCTTATTGAGCCAAGTAGTATCTTGTTCAAGCTTGACTTGAAAAATTAACGAGCTGAACATGAGTTGAGCTCAAGTAGTTTAGTTTCTTTTACAATGAAAGAGAGAGAGAGAGAGAGAGAGAGAGGGTGGGTGGGAATTTGGTCGATGGTGGCAGAATGGTGAAGATTAACTAAATCACCGATGTTTGACTGGATTGTACCAGTGAGATTGTTAAGGATGAGGCTGAGTTCTAACAAAGTAGTGCAGTTGTATATGCCAGGTATGCTTCCATTCAAGAGAGTATTCCCAAAATCTATATACTGCAAATTCCTAAGGTTTCCTAGTTCTAGTGGAATTAGACTGGAAAGAGAATTATCACAAACAGTTGGCTCTAAAGGATTAACATATGTTTGTTAATTGAATGATAGAATAGGTTCCCAAAACTTGAATTCTTTTATTTTGAAAGTAGTTCTAGAATTTGAGTTGGTACTGATGATTAATTCTTCTGTTAGGAGCGAAACTCTTGCAGAATTTATATGCTAAGAATTTTCAGTGGAAACACTAATAATTGTTTTCACTTGCAAGACAGATTTGAATCAGTTCACAAAAAATATTTTATAAGAAAAATGATATATTTTTAGTGCATGTTCATTTTTGGACTTGTATGACAATTGGTTATATTAGTTATGAGTTATAGTAAGGACCATATTTATATAAATGGATAATGGTCTTAATCTAGGCACTAGGAAACGAAGTTGGGGATGATGAAGGCTTTTCTAGAAGTGAATTTCAGAGCTATATCCTGCAGTAGTTGGGCCCTTTTGGTGTCAAGCATTTTACGACTTATAAGATTAGTAATATTTATGTATTTCTTCTCTGAAGTTACTGCATACTGATTTGTGATATTATGTTGATTTCTTCCCTAAAGTTACTGCATACTGATTTATAATATTTATGTTGATTTATTTTCTAAAGTTTCTACATATCAATTTGTGATATGTATGTTGTTTACTTCTCCCAAGTTGCTGCATACCATATTTTGATCTTGCCGCACGTTCTAGTAGTTCACTTTCTGTTAAAAAAAAAAAAAAAAACTGTTTTTTTTTTTTTATTTTTTATTTTTTTATGTACCTACCCATTGGAAATTGAACTTTTATGTGTTTACATCTGTTTTCTTTTGTTCTGAATTTGGCAGGGTGGTAAATGCATAAATATTTTGTTATTTTTGATGATCTAAATAAATATATTTTTTGACTTTTTATGAAAAGATGTGTAGAAAAATATGGAGGTGATGTGATCCAAATAAATATATTTATCTAAATAAGTGCACTTATATTCATCGTGCCAAACCAATGGAGAGATATGGAGTAATATGCTGCTTTTGTTTTGGGCTTGTTGCTTTTTACTTTTCTGCTTTGCTAACATAATTTATGCCATAGTTATAACCTATATAATCCATCTTTTTATCTTTTTATCTTTTTTCCATCACATCACCTCTCTATTTTTCTGCACATCTTTTCGTAAAAAGATAAAAAGTGTATTTTTTTAGGACACTCCAAACCAATCCTAAATGTAACAAAAGTCTTTCGCTTCATACACAAAACAAAAATCCTATGTACATCTCTGTTACATATATCCAAAATTCTATAGTTATAGCTAGTAGTGTATTGGCTTCATCTACACTTTGGCTTTTCAGTTTGCCTTTTGGAAATTTGGATACTTCGGCCTTGTTTGGTTTGGTTTTGAGAAACAAATTTTAAATTTTTCAAAATTTTTTTTGGTTTAGTGATTTTGGAAAAAAAAATTTCAAAATCATTTTTTATCTCTTACACATCAATCAATCACTTTTTCTCTTTTTTCTCTCCTTCTAAATCACTTTTTCTCTGAGACACATCTACTCAACTATAACAAAATATCAAATTATCCTAAACTCTCATACTCAAACTATTTTCAAAATATACAATCAAACAAATCAAAAAAATTTCTAAATTCTTTCTTCAAAAATATTTTTGAAAATTTATCTTCCAAAATCAAACCAAACAAGGCCTTTTTTCTTGTTTTTTCTATTGCAATCTCAAATGAAATCAAATTTGTGGATCCTGACGTTTTTTTAATGTTAGGACTGATATGCTGTGTTACTATGTTTTAGGATGATGAGTGACTATGCTGTGGAGCCAATAAATGATGGAATTAGTGAATTCAATGTGGAATTCCATGGTTCAAAAGAAAGTAATGTTTCTAGTCTTTCCATACTGTAGTCTTATTTAAATATGACCCTTAACAATTGTTCCCACGGATACTCTCTCATTGTTTTTTACGTCTTCAAAATTTGAATGGTTATTAGGTTTTGAGTTAGATAACAATGGCCTTTGGCTGTATTTCGACTCAACAAACCTTAATGACCATATAATTTATTTTTGCAGGTGTTGTTGAGAGAATAGTTGATATGATTGCGCAAGTAATATTGGAAGCTAAAATGAGATTGTTTTTTTATTTTTTATTTTTTTTGAGGACTTGAATTTGTTAGTACTTTGTATAAATATATTTAAGGATGGTTGATAGATATTTGTTTTGCATGTATAGAAGTTTATATTTTGTATGCAAATTTTTTTTTTCCGAAGAAAAAGAATTTTATTAAGGGAAGAGATGAAAAATAATGCATGAATGTTAGAATTTTTACAAACAACTCTTTACATTTATTGTATATTATGTATGTGAACATAGGTTGATAAAACATTGTAGGCACTTATTTTTATTATTATTATTATTATTTTATTTATTTTTTATTTTTATGTACTATGGTAACAAGATGCAAAAAAATTATAGTTTTTTTTTTTTTTTTTTTTTTGTGACGGCAAAACATTCATGAGTAGGTTAGGTTATCGCAAATAATTTGTGTCCACTGTTTTGCGGTCACAAAAGTATTTTCCACCCTACATTTGCATCCCCTATTTGCCGTTACATGATCGTCGCAAAAGGTTTTTTGTGACTGCATTTTGTTATTTGTGGCAGCATCCAACAGTCACAAAAAATGATTTTTTTTAGTTGAGAGTTCGCTACATATTGAATCTATTTGTAGTTGTATTGTAGACTTCTAGTTTGTGCATGATGATGAGTCCTTTAAAGTTAGAGCTTGTTGGCAGGCTAAATTTGAGTCTTCACGTTATTTTTTGCTACCAACAACCGTAAGTTAACAACCAATTAATTGAATATTTAAAAATTCAAACAGATTTAATTTGGGTAAGTTTATGAAGGTACTTCTTTTTCGAACTATTTGTATCTATACATGTTTCATCACCCAAAAACATTACTAGCTTCTACATATAATTTTAAAAATGGCATAACTATACGTGGTGGATAATAAAAAGAGTTTTGTTTGAACATGGGAATAATTATTTGCATAACTATACACTACTCTATCGTCGATGCATCAGTGGCAATCTATGACAGCCACATAGGCATTGCTTTTTGCTTGAAGTGGGCACCTCGTAGGGTCATGTTTGTTACTGCATCTTTAGTTTTCACGTTTTGTATACGTAATAATTCAAAATCAGCTGTTGAATTTGAAACCGGCAACCCTTAAATCGTAGAACAATCTAAACATATTTCTCATTGAGTGTACAATAAAGTCTATTTACTTCGCAATAAAACCCTCAACAATGTTTCTATACACTAAAGAGAGATCGGCTTGTCTCGCAACTTGTGTTTTGATAAGAATTCAAAAGGGGGGGACCATTTCTTTGGTTAGTTCACAGCTACGAAAAAATTCGTAGTCTCATTACTTGTCATGGGTTATTGTTTAGGTGTTTTATTTGTAGTTAGAGATTTTGGTGAACATTGTGTGTTGATAAGATTGTTAGGTCTCTAAGCTTCTCATCTCTAATTTTTCAAATTTGTTTTAGTTGCAATATATAGATAAATTGTTGTAGTAAGAATTTTTTTTATTTTTATGAGATGTATGGGTATATATATATATATGAAAATATAGGTTGATATTTTTTCTACATCTTTAAATTAATTTGTTAATTTTATGTTATTTTTCATCTAAAAAAAATTGTTAAGTTCTTGCAATTGATATTTTTGTTGTAACAAATGCATATATAATTTTTATAATAAATAATTATTTGTAACAAATGTCATTTAAGACTTTGCGATGGTATGTAGAAATCAAGGTGGGGCATCTTGAGAAACATGATGAAATACAATTTTCGAAGAGTATAAGTTCCCTTAATTGCAACATCAATGGTCTTACATAATTTCATAAGACAAAATATTCTCATTGATGAAGTAATGCAAAATATACAAAATGATAAGGACCCGAAGCACCAGGCCTTCTTGACCACCCAACAATGACAACAATTGGAGATATAATGATGCCAGGAGATGAAGACATTAAAATGGCCGATGTGAGGGCGACTATTGCATGCGCCTTGGCCACGCAAGCGCGAGCACAGTATCTTTGTTCGCAGATTTGTTGGTGAGGACAATGGAAAGTAGATTACAAGATTGTTTCTGTGTATATGAAAAATGTAAATCATGTTATTTTTGACATTCTGTTTTTGTTTGTTAAAGACAAAAAAAATAATAATTAATGTTATCAAACGTTGAGGGTAAAAACAAACCAATTTTTTTTAAGATTTATTTATGTACGGATCAAAAAATAAAATCTTTTAGATCATCATCAAATCTTTTTGCGTATTGGCAACTGTGAAATTTTATGACCCCAAGTGGAGATTGAAGGGAATAACCAGGTTGTTATTCACCTATGTCTCTGAAAATGTTCCATCTTGGGAGTGTGGTGCAATATTTACTGATTTTGAGCGGATGGCAGCTCAAGGGAACTTCTCTTTTAGTTGGAGGTCGAGAACCGCCAACAAGGCTGCTCATTAGGATGGCCCAAGCCTCTCTCCATGGTCGCTTTCGTCTTGATTGGGTTGCCAACCCCCAACAGAGCTTGCTTTACTTCTTAAATCCTCTTAGCTTAGGCTTTTCCTCTGCTTGCTGCTGTGAGCTTTCTTTTGGGATGTGTTTGCCTTTGTTTTTGGGTTTCTCTGGTTTAAAGCTTCCTATAATCAAAATATATATATACATAAATGAAATAAAACGAACCGGTACAAAATTAATTTGACGATCAGAAAAACACATTTGTACAATTGTTAACAAATGTGGTCAAATAGATTGGAGCAATAGCGTTATTTTATAAATATGTACGTATTTTCACAACACTTTTTTTTTTTTTTTGCAAAAAATTGGGTGAAAGAATTTTTTAATTTGACAAGTTTGGCTTGATTATGACTTTTGAAATTTTTGATCAAAATCATCATGCCCAACACCAAAAAAAAAAAAAAAACATTTTCAACATACAAAATTATGATGCAAAAAAAAATTTGTTACAATTTCTATAAATTATTTCACAAAAACATTTTTTCAATTACATGTTTTCAACATTGTCTAATATTTCGTTTTTTACAAAAATAAAACATACATATTTTATAAAAACAAAATGTTTGATTATGAATTTTTTTTTTTTTTAAAAAAATTCTAAAGAAAACGCCCGTTTGTGTATGGTTTTTGAATTGTATGAGTTTTGATGAGCAAATTTTTGTTACAAAAATGAGTGAGACCACTAAAAAGAAGAGCACTAATAGCTCTAAAATGGTGTGGGTCCCATATGATGGGATGTTTTGCTCTTGTTTTTTTTTTGAATTTCCACCTTATTAGTGGTCTATTAGTGCTCCCAAATTAGTGGGATGAATCATTATTGTTTTTGTTATCAACAATCTTGATCCTACGGTTCAAAAAAAAAAACAATTTTGATCCCAAAATAAAAAACAACCTTGCTGGGACCCTCAGTG